CTTCTTACGACCATGGTGATGAGGGTGTTTAACAGGTTTCTTTGTCTTTGTGCTGCAATAAACAAAGGATACTATGAGGTATTTCCATGATTTGGAGATCAACTTTACATTGAATATTTAGTGAGTTAATTAGGAGACTTGCCAGAAGAGGGTACAGAGCACTTTGTATGCAAAGAAGATGGGTAACGCTAACAACGCAGAGGCCTGCAGTGAAAAGATTTTAGATTTGAAGTTAAGAGAGGAAACAAAAAAAAATCATGGAATCTCAGTATACGTTCTAGGAGAAAGTAAAGACAAATACCGCAAACCAAACAAACTCATTGGTAGCAAAAGCCTCTGTCAGCTCATGGTTCTTCAGTTTTCGTTCAACATGGGCTTGAACCTTCGCAGATAACATGTGGATTTTAGCATTAAAAATCCATAATACTCAATTCATCCAAGAAAGGGCAATAACTTAATTCATGATTACAAAAATACACAAGCATGGCTTTAGTTTCAGACCTGTTGGTGATAAGTCGTGGCGGATTCAAGGAACTCTGTATAAACGATGATCACCTTGGTTGTGTAAGGTTTCATGGCAACCTTGACTTTATCAACATGTGGTTTTGTGGCCGTTGCCACTTGGTCAACATATGGCTTGCTAAACTTTTTAGCCTCCTGTAAAGGTTAAACACGTATTAAGTTTATTTCCGTAAATACTAGCTGAAAAAATGCTTAATTGGACCTATAGGTTGAAAGAATAAACTGCTAAAGACAGTATACCTGGTAATAGGGGTCTACAAGTTCTTGAACCGTGTCAATGTGTGGGGAAACAGCATCCTTGGATGCATGGTAAGCCTCTTTTGCTTTGATGGATAGTGTTCGGATATGTGGCTCTACGTGTGTACTGACAGTTTCCTTGACGGCTGGAATATATTTCTGCAAGTAGCGCGTCATAAAACATACAATATAAGAGTGAATTATAACTCTAAAGATTGGTGATTCATCGAAGATTAATTAAGGCATTCAACTAATGCCAGAGATATTACTACAAAAAGATGCTTACAGTTTTAACGTTCTCCACATGTGGTTCAGCCCACTTCTGAGCTTGAGTCTTAACTTCCGTGACCTAATAGATAATTAATAAATTCATTAGCCAGATGCCCCCATGCAGCTACGAGACATTAATCTCAACGAGACCGAAACGTCACCTTTAGAATTACTGTCTCCACAGCAGGTTTCCCGTGGGCCTCCCAATGTGTCTCGGTATAAGTCTATAGGTACAAGAAATAGCCAAGTTAATAGGGGAAAAACCTGCTATGTTACAAAACAGTAAAGAAGGCCTGCATTAACTTTACCTGAAAACTAATCCAGTGAGAAGCAAGCCAAGGGGGAAGCCATGAACCATGAGCCTGACCAAAAGAAAACAATCGATGTTAGCTTTCTGTTCAATTCTGGCTTCCAGTTCCGTAATTTCATAAACAATGGAATAAGCTGGAAAGATAACTATATGGATATAGTGTGTCGAACTATTACCTCCAGCAGTTCCTTATGCTTCGTGGTTGCTTCAAGCTTTGTCCTCAACATTTCTTCCTAAAATTTTATTTTGATAACGAAAAATGTAAGACGGCAACCAAATGCAGACGGAGTTCTAATTTTTAAAAAAGGCTACTATACCTCAGCTATCTTAATAGCACGTTCAAGTTTTCCTATTTTGTTCTTCTGCTCTTCATTTGTCTTCTGAAGCTGCAAGACATTAGATACTATATCTTCAGGACATTACGAAAAATAATCAGCTCAACACAAATGTACATATCCAAACACGTATGGTCGATGTCATAATAAGAAGCAGCAAAACAAAAGGTCGAAAGTATGTATAATTAGATTGCATCACGAAACCTCTTCTACATAAATTCCATGTAACGCCACATCTAAGAATTTATACCAATCACAAGTATCAGATCATACAATGACCTGTCCTATGGGGATCTATAATAGCTGAGAATGGAAACTGCAATAGAAAGACCATAACATAAATGAAAAAAGACCAGATAGAGCTGAAATGAAGATCATGAATAAAGCATACACCACGTCCCTTAGAACTACCAGCTAAGCAATTCATCCACATAAAATAAAATAAATAACTATAATGGAGTCGCAGTGTATAGCGAAAATGTATAACAAGGGAGGTAAAGAAACATACTTTGTCAAGACTCGAGTTTAGTTCACTTAGTTTTTTCTCAGCTTCATTAGTCCGAGCTACTGTGGAATCTTTCTCCTTGTTTTTTTGCTCCAAGAAGTTCCTGAGAACCTCAACCTGAATGGCAGAAGTAGCATCACAAAAAAATCAGATTACCGTTTGCAAATTCTATCTACATAATAAGCAGATGAATTTTATCGAACTTAAGATCTCACCTGCTTCTCTAATTCGTCAACTCGTGCTTGAGCCTTTCCCAACTGTTTTGCAGAATCCGATGATCCCTTTTTCTGAGAGAGGAGTAAAAAAAAGCCAAACATGTCAAAAGATGAAAACAATTTACGACACGTTACAAACATCATAAGATCCATACTTGCAGTGATGAGACTTCAGTCTGCAAAGAAGCAATCTTGTCTTCCTTTTCTTTGAGCAGTTTCTCCTTCTCTGCTACTAACTCGTCTTTGCCCTCAACTTCACGGCTTTTCTCATCGATTTGAGATTCTTC